GCTTGGGTAGTGGGAAAGGCATAGTAGGACATCAGCCTTTCCCAGAATGTTACATTCTCTTGATATGTGCACTTGTACATTCATTGCATGGGAAATATTTTATGCTACCTGCTAATCCCCTCCCACAAATTGCTTCTTTTCTTGTTCAAATGCTTTTGTGACCTTTTTCTTTTGCTGTCATTTGTCTTTAATGCTTTCTTTCTTTCTTTCTTTTTAATTTTCTGCTTCTCATGTGGAGTAGAAGAACAATAAAAATGTGAAACTGAAAAGCAATGGTAAGGGTGGGCTGAAAAACAAGGATTCTGATGTCACGAAGGAGGGCTCAAAATTAGACTCTGGCTCTTTACAAAAGCAGACCTCACTTTCAGCATCCTCAGGACAAGATTTAGAAAAGCCTAGTGCCTTTGCAGGGAATCCTGTGGCCAAAAAGAGTACAACTAAAAGTAAATCTGAGCTTGCACGAAGTGTTAGTACTTTGAAAAGTGATGTTCAGCAGATTACTGAGGACAAAAGCAGATTAGTGATAAGGGAAAAAGAATATGTGGAAAACCCTGAATTTTTCAAAGAGGATGTAAGTTATAATCTTCCCACTGAAAAACAAATTCTGTCTGTAAAAGCAAATTCTTCCAATAACAAGTCCAATGCTGTTAAACCTAAGCAATCCCTTAAAATAGAGGTACTTCCTTCTGCATCTGGGGATCAGCCCCAGACTGATTCACTAACTGTACAAAAATACAGTCCTGTTAAAAAGCAAGGAAGTCAAGAAACAATAGCAAGTCAGAACAAAATAAAGGGTGTTGCTGAAAAATCTGATAAATGTGAAAGTATATGTGTCAAAGGAGAAGAAAGTAGTGCAGAGCAGAAGGAGTTTAAGAAAAAGGATGAAGTTTGGAAACAAGTATCTGTAAGTATGTCATCATCTTCAAGTGAGGAAAGTGGGAACGGTCTTGAAAAATATGTACTTAAGATTGAGAAAAAAGAAGAGCACCACCATCACTACTATGAAGGAAGAGATGTCCAGAAGGGCAGGAGAACAGTAGAACAAGTGAAAGATTTGGACTTAGAAAAAGTAGACAGTGAGATAGAGGAGATACAAACTACAAACAATGACAAAGAATGTGTTGGAGAGACTGTTATAAAAATCCAGAGTGAGGAAGAAACAACCTCTGAAGCTAAATCTGATGAACACAGGCAGTTAGAAATTAAGAATGAGGAAGAATCTGATCAAGAACAGGAGAGTGAAGGCAGTGAAAAGGATGAGAGCGAAAAAGAAAAACTAGATGAAACAATTGACAGTGAAGGTAAACTAGGGGAGGAAGAAGAAGAGAGTGAGGTCAAAAAAGATAGAGATGAAGTTTCAGTCGAAAGAGATGAAGATGAAGAGGAAAAAGATAATGAGGAAGAAAATGAAAAGGAGGAATCACAGGCTGAAAGAGACAGTGAGAATGAGGATGCAGAAGAGGCTGAAGAGATTATTCAGGAGGATGACAAAGATCAAGGAGATGAGAAAGGCAGGTTGATGGAGGAAGAAGAAATGCTGAGTGAGGGAGAAAAGGAGGATATGGAGAAGTATGCAAAAGATGAAGGCACTGAAAAACAAAAGGAGGAACAGGTTAAAAGTGAGGGAACAGATGAGAGTGAGGAAGGAGGTGAGAAGGATAGAGAGGGGGAGGAAGAAAAAGAGGTAGAGGCAGAAGAAGAAGGAGAAGATGAAGATGAAGAAGAAAAAGAAAGGGGGAATGAAAAAAACAAAGAGGGTGAAGAGGAGGAGTTAGGAGAATCATTGGCAGGGAGGGAAGAGTTATCTGAAGAAGAACAGGAAGAGGAAGATGCAATTACAAGGACTAAGGAAGTGAGGGAGGATGGAGTGGAAGAAGAAGGAGAAGAGGAGGAGGATGAGGTGGAAGAGGAAAGAGAAGATGAGGAGAAAGAGTCAGAAGCAGAAGGGGAGGAGGGGGAAAAAGATGAAAAGGAAGAAGAGGAGGGGGAAAATGAAGAAGAGGAAGTTGAACAAGAGGGAGAAGGAGTGGAAGAAGGTGAAGGATTAAAGGAGGAAGAAGAAGAGGTAGTTGGAGAAGATGAGGGAGAAGAGGGAGCTGAAGAAGAGGGAGGTGAGGGAGAAGAGGGAGTAGAAGAAGAGGGGGATGCTGAAGAAGGAGGAGTGGAAGAAGAAGAGGGAGAAGGAGGAGTGGAAGAAGAAGAAGAGGGAGAAGGAGGAGTGGAAGAAGAAGAAGAGGGAGAAGGAGGAGTGGAAGAAGAAGAAGAGGGAGAAGGAGGAGTGGAAGAAGAAGAAGAGGGAGAAGGAGGAGTGGAAGAAGAAGAAGAGGGAGAAGGAGGAGTGGAAGAAGAAGAAGAGGGAGAAGGAGGAGTGGAAGAAGAAGAAGAGGGAGAAGGAGGAGTGGAAGAAGAAGAAGAGGGAGAAGGAGGAGTGGAAGAAGAAGAAGAGGGAGAAGGAGGAGTGGAAGAAGAAGAAGAGGGAGAAGGAGGAGTGGAAGAAGAAGAAGAGGGAGAAGGAGGAGTGGAAGAAGAAGAAGAGGGAGAAGGAGGAGTGGAAGAAGAAGAAGAGGGAGAAGGAGGAGTGGAAGAAGAAGAAGAGGGAGAAGGAGGAGTGGAAGAAGAAGAAGAGGGAGAAGGAGGAGTGGAAGAAGAAGAAGAGGGAGAAGGAGGAGTGGAAGAAGAAGAAGAGGGAGAAGGAGGAGTGGAAGAAGAAGAAGAGGGAGAAGGAGGAGTGGAAGAAGAAGAAGAGGGAGAAGGAGGAGTGGAAGAAGAAGAAGAGGGAGAAGGAGGAGTGGAAGAAGAAGAAGAGGGAGAAGGAGGAGTGGAAGAAGAAGAAGAGGGAGAAGGAGGAGTGGAAGAAGAAGAAGAGGGAGAAGGAGGAGTGGAAGAAGAAGAAGAGGGAGAAGGAGGAGTGGAAGAAGAAGAAGAGGGAGAAGGAGGAGTGGAAGAAGAAGAAGAGGGAGAAGAAGGAGTGGAAGAAGAAGAGGGAGAAGGAGAAGAAGGAGAAGAGGGAGAAGGAGAAGAAGGAGAAGAGGGAGAAGGAGAAGAAGAAGAAGAAGAAGAGGGAGTAGAAGAAGAAGAGGGAGAAGAAGGGGAAGAAGAAAAAGAGGAAGAGGGTGAGGAAGAACAAGAAGAGGAAGAGGTGGAAGAAGGAGAAGAGGAGGAAGGGAATGTAGGGGAGGAGGAAGAAGGGGATGAGGGAGAGGAAGAAGAAGGGGAAGAAGAGGAAAAAGCAAAAGATAAAAGAACAAAATACAGTAATAAGATTCCACAAAAGAAAAGCAAACCCATGAAACCAGAAAGGACAGAAAGTACTACTTTAACAAACAGCTCTAAACAAAAGATAAAGTCCAAACAACATGTAACAAATGGTTTACGTAATTCAGAACAATTTTGGAACAATGTGCTACCTCATTATTTAACACTCAAGTAGCACAGTCTACTGGAGATGCATTTTAAGCCTATTCAGGAAGCTCTGAAACTATGGCAGATTGATTTTTATTACTTAAAAGAAACCTTTAATGTAGTCAAAATATCTTATTATGCATGTCTTTAAGTGCCAATTTCTTGAAAAAGACCATAGAAAATGTTTAGATTTCGGAAGCTTTTCTAAAAGGAATCATCACTTGTTGATCCAGTCATTTTCACAGTCGTGTTTTTCACATATGACACAGCTTTAAGTAATTGCTGAGGAAGTAATCTCTGTTTGCCTCTTAATTAAGCTGTAATGTCATCCTGACAACATGAATTATACATTGTAACAGTGTAATCTTTGCCTTTGAATCAGCAATACATCAATTTTTGTTGCAGGAGAGCTTACTTGTTAATGTGCCTTATATGAAAGGAGTGTCAGAAATTAGCAAATACACATTTTTAAATTTTGGTAGCAGTTCATATGCATTCTCCCTGCTTTTTGTCTGTTCATACACTGGTGAAATATCTGAATACTCAGCAGAAATTAAAGAAAGGACAAGTTGCCAAATTTACATGGGTCAGTAGTGGCAGGTAAATGGAAATGCAGGCCTGGGGAAGTGGTGGCCTGGGCTGTTTCAAAGGCCTTAAGGTTGGCTTCTTATTTCAGTGTCAGCACACAATTATGTGCAAAAAGACTCAGAATTTGGCCTAAATTATGTTACAATCAGAATGCATCTTTTCAGGGATCGTTTTTTAATATCACATTTGGTGATTAGATGCAATTAAGAATTTGAAAATAAAGACTTGTATAACATTTTTTACTTTTTTTTACTCTGCAGTGCACAAAAGCTTCTATATCTGCCTACAAAAAACTGCATTACATTAGTCATCTAACTCTAAGGTTCTCAAGGAGGGGAATATATTTTCTTGCTGTGTGAACCATGTATGTTGTCAGGATCAGAGCCAAAGCTTCTCCACATTGGAGGAGAGCTGTGTTTTTCTCTCCTAAATAAATCACATCTGTGATATCCAAAAAGGCATAAACCAAGAAGGCAGATGAAATAGTAAAGACAGTGGCAAGGAAGTCTGAATTCTTTCTGGAAAAGACAAAGTTAGTACTTCTGGAGTTTCCTTAAAACACACAAACGAATCTTGCAAATTATTTTTGTAAGATACTGCATTACTGTTTCAAGTATTAGGGGTTGAAGTGGTAAGGGAAGAGATAGGGACTCATCATACAGCATTGTTACTTGAATACTGTGCTAATGGGTGGTCTGGGAAATTTTTGTAAACAGATCTCCATGCTGACATTCTTTAGCAAGAGAGTTATTTAAGTCCTATGTGAAACTGAGGAGAGGAGAAGAAAGGAATCAAAATGAATAAACATCATGCAGTAAAAATGTTAATGGAATCAATACTTCTGTTGAGATTATGAAATGTTTTTTATGTTGTTTTGTACAATACTGGCAATTAAACTATCTTTGACACAATATCTCCAGCATTTTATTTTCCAAAAAGGCTTTAGTAGATTAGTAGTTTGCCAGTAGATTCTAGTCCAGCTAGATCCTTCCCACCTCACTCCCCCTTCCATATACTACTGCATTTGAAGGTAAGATCACCTTGGTCATTTTGCTGTGCCTAACTACAACAAAGAGTTAGTCCAGTGACTGTACTTTGTACCTGTGAAATTTGTATCAAGCTTTGGAATTCTCTGGAACACATTGTCTTGACATCAGCATGTGTAAGTCTTTGGAAAAGGGTAAGTATTCCATATTCTAGTAGAGTGCAATATGGTAACAGTTAAATGCACTTCCCAAGGGAACAGCTCTCTAACAATGAGTCATTGGTTATTTTGCAGAAGTGCTGCGTTATCACTGAAGTGCTGTGAAAATACTTCCCTTGGAAACTAAGTGGAGCTAAGATGTGTTATTTTATTTTGCTTAGGAAAGATTAGGATGTTACTATGATTAAATGTAGAGTAATATTGAGAAGTATTTTTATAGGCCTTAAACCTAGGTTTCTTGGATAAGGCATCTACTTTTTTGTGATTCTAAAATTCATCTTTGGAAAAAAAACTGTGCTGTGAAAAAAACCTGTCATTTCTTATGAAAAGTATTCCTAGAGAGAGGGAGAAAAAAGTGAGAGAATTTCCAGTTCCACATAGGAATGGATCTTCTTCTACTGTGTGTAGGTTTTGATCTAAATTCTTAGGCAAATGAAGACCATTTGTTGTTCCTCTCTTAACATGTGCTGATAGCACAAAGCTTTGTGAGAGAGAAAGAAGTCAACTCATGGGCATCCCCTCTTCTTTGTTATGTCTGGATGAAATTTCATTGAACTGAGAGCTGATTTTGTGCAGTTTTGTGGATCATTCCTGTGGTAGGGGAGAAGCAGAGCATTACTCCAGCACTTCTGAGGGTTTTCCACAGAACTGTTCCATAAATTGTACAATGTGCCAGCGTTTCTGGGCTTTGATGGGACTTTGGAACTCCATTAGCGTAATGAGTGGAATTTTATTTAGTTTGACTCATACTGGTTTATAAAGTTTGTTACTTGTGGTTTTGTGGAAATTCAGTAGGTCCTTGGTATTTATTACAGGATATAAACAGTTTTATGTGCAGTACTGAAGCAACATGGCAGAAATACTGCTGGACTAGTTTTTAGTAAAGAAAAAAAATCCTGCAGTAGAGAGAAAAAACAACAGACGATTGCGCAGACCAAAGGTGTATCCAGTCTAACATCTTTTATCTACCAGTGGCTACTGGTGAATGCTTGGGAAAAAATATTAGTGCAAACATGTAATGTTACCTCTCCCCTGTAATCATTCAGTGTACTGAATATATTCAATCCTTGGTGGTTCA